TGCCTTTCGCAACGTAAACATTCTCAAAATGTGAGTCACGACCAACAACAACCAAGTACACTTCGAGACGACGACAAAGAGAAAGAGAACCCTTCGTTTCAACGCGCCGTGACTATAGACTCTCTTTACCTGTGGGCAATCATTGGGAATTCGTTTTAATGACGCAAGATACGGCGGCGGTTGCCTTTTGAAAAGATACAGTTGGACGTTTATATGCGTAGTTCCTAGTTGAAACCGCACCTTGTTTATGATACTTTTGAGTTCAAGTCAAAAGCGTTTTTCGTATTTACCGAACTCAATACGTCCATATTTGATAGAAAAGACGTTTTTACCAAGATTTTAATGGTTGTGAACTTTAAAGTGAATGGGAACAGAGCATTCATACTATGTATGTACCTTTCTAATAAATCAGTTTAAGTATATGGTTTTGAAAATAATGATGTATGCAGATATTAAATATGTATTTTGAAATTTAACAATGTTTAAATTAAAAATTGATATAGATGAGTTGGAATTATTATAAATGAAAGTATCAAAATTCTTGCAACCTTGCGAAAAATTGCTGTATTAGATGCCAGTTTGTACCAGTTGTAGATATTTTGCAAAAGTTGGGTACTGTTTAGACTGGTGTTCTGTTTTGTCTTCAAAATATGGTTTTCCTCCAAAGATAATACCTGCACCAAAATTTCTTTTCGGTAATGCATCTTAGTTCAACATACATTTTGGTTCATACGTTATTAAATGGCGTAACCACTGTTATAATTTATTGTAACATTATGGATTATTAAAATTTCATATAAAAAATTATATCACTTTATGAGTAGGAATGGAGTTCTTAGTGGAGTATAATAATTAATGTCTGTATAGCAATTTTTAAAAACTCTGGTTATCCTTTTGCACAATGCTAACTTTGAGTGTTGTTTCCATCCTGAGCTGATCGTTCAGCCAACATTGAATGAAGTAGAATAAATTCTGGAATCAGTAGAACGGAATCTATCTACGATCATAAAAATAGTTTCTACATTTATACATGTCCTTTATGTCAGGGTATGTATGTAAGGTTTGAATTGGTCCAACAGCTTGATATCTAAGTAAATCAAACGTTTGAAGAATGCTGAATCGGACATGGTGGTACTATAACTTAGCCGGTTGGGTCACCAAAATGAATAAATCTTCTAAAATCTGAATATAGCAATTCTTGAAAATCGAACAATTTAACAGGAATACACCTATGAAGCCAAACAAGCGTATAAGATGATGTGGGTCTAGATTTAGTATAAATTCCAGTTTGAACTGTAATGTAACTATAAATGACAGAAGTTTTTGCATTTCCACTTTGATGTCATAACGCGAAACAACGCTATATTGAACCACATCATTTCAATCTCTTCGTTCTCCCTTACAATCGTTTATAGAATAACAATTGTGGTGGCTTCAACTCTCCTTCCATTTCTGTTATGTAGACTAATTTACATATTTGTATTAGTTCCATTAGGTTTAGCCGCTAACTCCGCAATATTGCAATGATTCTAATTTTAAGGCCTCTGCTATAATTAATGGCAAATTGATAATTAACTTAGACTACCCGATAATTATATGCACCAGCAACTTTTCTATTTGTTCATATAAGTGAATAATATCATACATATCACGTATATGTTGTAGAATCATATTCGATTTTTTTTAGCTATAAGTGCTTTGAAAATTAATGAAATTGTAAATTTGTTATGCGAATTTGGTAATAGTAGCGATAATAATGCTGCATTTAAGGCAAATCATGTAAAATATGTTGTAAATATCAATATTGTTTATATAGGTTTGAACACTGAAATGAATCAAAATAATGTAACTAAGAATATCGATGTTGACGTGATTTTGAATACCGATGTAACTGGTATAGTTAACCTTGAAATCACTGACGAGAAAGTTATTGAAATATTAGAATATATTGAATTCTTCTATATTGAACTGTTGCAACTCCATCTAATCAAATTCCATTAGATCTAGTTTAGAAGTCATTGAATAAATTTATACAAACGAAATGGAGAAAAGATGAAATTAATTTTTCTCAATACTTCAAATTGCATCATAGACCTCATACTATATTTATAACAAATTTTAGTTATTTGGGAAAGTAGCCTCAAGTACTGTTTATTATATCTGATGAATTCATTGATTTGGTTAGGCCTCTCCTATTCTATCTCGACTCTTACTTCCAAGTTGGTGACTCCTGATAACCTAAGCAACCCTGCGAAAGTTTGTGGTAACCAATTCCAGTGGGATGCTGGGTCTCGCCAGGGCTGACGAAAGCCCTCTCGAAAGGTCTCTCAACGAATACGCCGTTGGGTGCAAAAACATTGATTGCGAAACTTCAAAGAGAGAAATTCGGACTGATCAGAAGACGACGACTTCACGCGAAACAGGAACTTTGTAAATACATAGTTTGAGATCAAAGCTCAATCCATAAGAGAACGTGAGTATCCCCGGATACAGTTAACATGATAAATCTTCATTGTTGATGCAAGACACCAATCTAACATAATAGAAGTCCAAAGTAGACTAACTAAAGTAGGCTAAGGTAAGTGCTAACGGCGATCCTGAGCACTACCTGGTAAATCAACAATTACGAATGTCAAAAACATAACAGGACAAAAGCACAAGAAATTTAACCTACAGAACCTCAAAGATCACAGTAGAAATAGAGATTACAAATAGAATATAAATCTGACGCTTGGGAATAGACAAAAGAGTGAAAATACTAGCATTCAGTGAAACATATGTCGTAATATTATCTGTGAGGTCGCACAAGAAGCCCTAGGATTTGAAAGAATAGCCCTCTGGACTGGTTTTACGAACAGTGCACCAAACGTAGCGTAGAACGGAAGCGATGGAAGAAGAATACAGAGTACTGAGGAGGGAAGAAAAGAGGACCCTTGGACGGAAAAAAAGATGCCATAAACGGTGAACTGAGAGAATTAAAGAAATTAAGAACACAGTCGTACAAGAGGAAATTCTACCAGAATCTAAATGGGAATGGGAAAGAATTTAAACCTAGGATAATAAGAACTGTGGTTTTACACCTCAGTATCGCAGATTTTTACGCTACACACTGCATAAATTGCAAACTCAAGAAAGAAACCTAGATTTACTCTGCATAAATCAGCAGTTAAGGATGTGATACGGTTTGCATCGGATGCTATTATATCTCCATATTATCATAAGCTATACTCTTTCAACTTTAGAAAATGATTCTGACTTCAGACGTCATCAATTAGAAATCAGAGGCCAGAAAATGTTTTTCTGCAAGACACTCGTTGCAATTGAGTAAGAAATTATAATTAATAATTGGTTTTCTTGACAATATACACCAAACAGTTATATGTTCCAAATGAAACAGCTTCTCATGAATTTCACTGGGATTTGTTAGCAACACAGTAGCACATGTTTTCTTTATTCACGCTGCTAGACCGATGGAAGTGTACCGAGGATGCCGATTTTGGCGTAATTAAATGAAACAATGAAAGAAAAACGTTATTATATACTTTATTTTATATTTCGGTACTTAAAATTAGCAAAATTTGATAGAAATAGCAAAGAAAAATAAATTTATTTGAAATAGTAGAAATGACAAGAATTACTTTCAACCAAATTCTAATATGCTTTTAAAAGCTTTTGAAAATATTTTCTTTTTTGAGATCAATGTTAACAAGCCGTCGTTGAGAGATTGATTGTGTGCAGAATGGAGGCTGTAAAATCTTTTGGCCATATTCTACCAAATTATTATTCCATTAAAACAACTACTATTTCTGTACATGGGATAGAATAAGATGGAGTCACAAGGCATCAATCGATTATTAATAGATTGTCCTGGTATTTGCTGCAGATTGCCTTCTTATTTTATCTGATTCAATTCGGGTCTCAGATCCCAGAATCAATTTGATTACAAATTCAGTTAAAAAAACATTCTTAATGAAAGTTATTTTCTTGGTCCTAAGCTCTCTTAATGTTAGCTTACTGAAATATCACTTCTCTTATAATAAGATAAGTAATATTTTTATTAATATATTTTTCTCCATAGCGAGATTAATATTTATTGGCGATTTATAAAAAGAATTTTGCCAGGAAATTAATTGCTGCTGATTTGGTGATGGCAATATAGTAATTTATCCTAAATGGAAAGTATCAAAACGTTTTCTCTCAAAAAACCAAGGTTCATTTTTAAAAATTCTGAGACACCTATACGAAGTTAGCCACCAATTAAATAAGATTTTACATGTGTAGTATTTTGATTATAACAAAAAAAAATCTCAACTGATTTTGACGAACAATATCTCATTCGAAAGCTTAATCCTTGGTGGCCAGCTAACAGAATGACAGCGTGTTCGGCTCGTTGTTTATACACGTATGGACGACCGAAAATCTATACATGTAAAATCCTATCTAATTGAAGGCTACCTTCACATAAGTCAGGTATCGAATATTTCTACTTCCGTTATTACCAACAAAATCATTAAAATCGTTGAGTTGCATGTTGTGGCCTCTCTCTAGAAGTTAAATTTAATTTAAACCTAAATTTAAATGAATAAACTAGCATTTTAAAATACAACTTGTGTTCTAGGATTATCTAATCTTGATTTAATAATAACGTTTAAAAATGTTATTTTTTTAACGCGTGAATACGTTACAATGAACTTGCTTCTGTAGAATTGTTTATTAAGATAATCTAAATAAACATATGTTAATTTGGAAATTAGAAGCAAGCCCATTTTAATGTGTTTTCTTTTAAAGCAACTCGAGCAAACTATTACTAAACAAGTATATTTTTAGTTTGATATAAACATACTACGTCAAAACTTGATTGTTATCATAATAATAGAGTAGATTGAGTTTCATTAAATTGTTAGTTTATTAAAAAAATAAAGGCACTTCAATTACGAATTAGATGATTTTAATAAAATATTGATTATATTTACTCATATATTTTTTTTTGTTTATTTCAGCGATTCACACAATACCTAGCATCTAGTAACAGTTCATTTCAACTAAACAATTTTTTAGATAAAAGTGGAGTTCCAGGTAAGAATCACAATTAAAGTAATCATTCTTAAATCGATCAGTATTAGTCATTTTTAATGATATAATTTTTAATGAGCGTGCCGCTAGTTTAAAGTACTCATGACTAAACCATAATTTTCTTCTTTTTTCCATTTTTATTTATTCTTTATTGAACGCCAGTTCTACATTTTCTTACTTATTATCTAACCGTATTTTGCGTTGATTGAAATTCATAAAATAATGTTTATTTACTGTTGCATAATACATCTTTCGCTTTAAACTACGTTTTATTCATTTTAAATATTAAGAAATTTAAACAAGTCAAGTATTAGATTATTGAGAAATGTTTGTTTAAATTTTTTGATATAAAAACTAACATTCGGGTTTTGATTTGTTTTGCGTTTCTTATGGATAAATTACTAATATATTTTTATTTTTTATGACGCTAAGGTGTTGTCAGTGCAAGGACGGGTAAGTTTATTTGTCTGTGTGGAAGTTATACATAGTATATAATGCATCTAGAAGTTAAGCAAACAATTCAATTCAAACTAATTCTTCGAGTTTAAATCTTATTGTTTGTTTAACATTCTATATCGATCTGCTTATTGCTACAAAGCTTTTAACCTAATACTCGCACTAAAATAATTGATTATAAGCTTTCTTCTTTAGCTAAAATATAATTAAAAAATAAATTAATTTTTAAAAAACAAAATAGATAAAAACCATAGTTAAATTAATAAAGCGAATTTATTTAATTAATTTAACGATTAAACATTGGTATTATGATTTTATTTTTCACTACACATAGTTAATTGATTAGTCTTTTAATTTTTTTAATGTTGCGCTTTCTAACTTTAATTACATTTTGTTGTTTTACAAAAGTCTTTAATCGGAATCACTGATTGAAACTTAATTTCAGGTTATGATATGTCCCCTTTCATTCGAAGATATGCCAGATATCTTAACGAGAAAGCTATGTCGTATAGAACGGTCGCATTTGATTTTTGTAAAATCAAAAGAGGGTAAGATATTTATATCTATATTTCTTATATGATTAACGTTTCATGTAATGCTAAGATTCAAAACGATATTTTATATTTTAACGCCCGTATTATGTTAATGCTAAGTCATTAAGTTTAACATTAATCAAAATCTTTCTGTTATTTAAAAATGTAAAGTTAAATTGAACTTTTTTATCATTTAACTTCTAGAACATATAGATTTAATACTTATATTACTTTATTCACTTATTTGATAAACACTTTCAAAGATATTTTTTTGTATGAATTTCACTCATTGACCTAATCAAATTGGAGCGAAAAGAGATGTATTAACTGCAAAACCTAAAGAAATTAGCATTTTCTTTTATATTTAATTAAAGGAAACCTTCCTTTACTTGAGAAGCCTGCGTTGTGTTCAGTTACAATTTTTTTAATTAGTTATAAAGCGCTTCTGTGAAGTTCTGCAAATATCTGCACTGCTTTAACTCTTTAAGTTTTCTGACAAATTAATGCAAATTCAATTTTTGATGAGCGGTGTACTTAATAGGTGAAGCCATACTGACAGTTTCTGCAAATAAGGTTCCTTCTCTTTGGCCATCTTTTTCAAGTACTTATATTAAGAGCAACCCTAATTTTTGTTGTTCAACTGGAGTTTGTGTAACTCAGCTAAAAAGTGATATCATTACTAGAATTAAAAATTGGGTCTATATTAAATGATGGAGTTATGTTGCTCACTTTGTCTTTAATAAATTTTGAATTAAATCATAGATATTCTGTGATAGACTATTTTATTACCAAACCTCAGCAAGGCCCAAATTAAGCATCGTTGGTTCATTACTAATGCACTATTATAGAGAAGGAGCTGTCAAAATTTGGAATTTATTAAAATATTACGATGTTGAATCATCTTTCGTAGGCTCAATCGATTTACATCAAGACAGATTATTTAAATGCATGTCTGATTGTATGTTATTAATCTGTAGATACTTCATGTATCACAGAAAAATTCGAAAAGATTCTTCTATCTAATTCTTCTATCTCACTATAACCTGTTAAACTCATACTCAGATACTACAATTTCATTTGTTACTCTATTTCCTCATTGACTATCAATTTTTATCTTGCATCATATAGATGCCTTTAGATGTGGTCATACATTTTGTTTTTTCTGTGGATATTTCCATGTTAAATTTTCTCGCTGTTGTGTTAAAAATATGAGTAAGTCTTTGAAGATCGTGTTCATTTTTTACAAAGAGCACGGCATGGTCTGCAAAACATATTCGAATTTCTTCATTGCCCATTATACATATACAAGGTGTTTCTGTAAGTCGTGGCATAATTTTAATTACAAATACTACAGTGAAAATGATTCGTGTAAAAATTTTTGATTTAAACTTATAAATGGCTAAGATATGGGCCATCAAAGCTAAGTTCTTAAATATTTTTAATATGGTTTATCTCAGAAAGACTAAATTTAGCAAATAATGTAATGTTATCATAAGAAATCGTTTAAGATCACTATTGAAAATATCGAACTATTGAAATATCTGTTGCAAGTACAGTGTTGCCATACTATGATGCAAAAATGTACTAATGATGCTACGTTTTTAGAAAAAAGTACTTTTTACAAATAACCATTAAAAATGCTGAAGAATAACTGTACTAAAGAAAATCCAGATTTCATGCTACGTTGAGTAATAATTTGATGATTTTTTTTTTAAACGAACATAAATCTTTTTGTGTATAACTCGAAAACGATGCTTGTAATCAAAAATTTGTAAGAGTAAAAATAATTTTAAAATGAAATAGGCTTTTGGAATCAGTTGGAGAAATTTTATGGTTTACGACATAATAAAAAAATCTTAAGGAAATAACCTTTGTGAACATCCTGTATTGCAATGACGCCGTGTTTGCATATTTTCAAAAGTGATCTTAAACGATTTATCATGATAACATTGCACTGTTTGCCAGATTTTATCTTTCTAAGACAAACCATATTGAAAATATTAAAGAAAATGTTTAAAAATTTCTTAACTTTGATGGCTTATATCTTGGCCATTTATGGGTTTGTGACCAAAAATTTGTATACGAATCATTTGACGTTATCATTTTGACTCTAGTATTTGTGATTAAAATTATGCCACGACTTACAGAAACACCCTGCCTGTATATTCTTTATCGCGTCTTATTTGGTTCACGTCATTTCCAGATAGGAATCCTTGTTGTTCGTTAGCAAAATGTATACCCCGATAGTTGTTTGGTTCCTGTTTGTCACCTTTCTTAAAGATGACAATCATTATATATTTATTATTTCTCCTTGTAATAGGATTTGTTGATTAAGATTTGCTAGTTCTCGTATCGCCATACTCTATTAGTTCATTCTTAACGTTTTCACAGTTTCTCAAACTTCTTCATACTTTATTTGTATATCTTGTCTGATCATACTACAGATCAGACAAAAGATGAATATCTCTACACTCCATCATTCCTTTGAGTAATTTTTTTAAATACCTTTCCCAATCTTCTTCTGTAATTTGTGTTTTGAATCAATTCTGTTACTTCTCTACGTTGTTGCCTCACTATTCTCCACACCTCTTTTTATGTTCCATAAAAGTCGTCCTCTGACATCTTGTAGAATTTTTCCCAATGGTCATTTTTAATAAATTTTACTAACAAGTTTGTTTCATTTCGGACTAGTTTGTAGATTTCGTAGTGTTCATGTTGGAATATCGAAGACAACTATTTTAAGATTAATCATAAGAAATATTTGGCTATTTTGGCGATGCCCTTAATCATCGACTAAAATTTTGTGAAGACAAAAAAATGCGCTAATCATCGATTTCTTAGGTAACCATTATAACAGCTTTACTATTCTCGAGGGAATAGTAAACATGTA